ACTATCCTACCCACATCAACCCAAAGTTTGACATTAACTCGAAAAACCGAAGAACATACTGGAGCAGAAGTGGACAGGTGTGTAAACTCTAGCACACTCTTGTTGCTGTATTAAGTGTGCAGGTGAGCACATTCCACCCACAACAGTGTCATTCCAGGAAGCAGGGCAGGAGTAGTGGCACATTAGAAAAGAGGCTATTCATTGCACAATTAATAGAAAAGTGAAAAACGTTTCAAGATCTACAATAAGGCTGTATCCAAAGGAGTCTTTCACATCAGTGACGTGCTGGACTTTGAATTCTGTGCTACAGCTTTGTAATGGACTCACTCTGGCCTGCTGGCCTGGGTACGGCTTGCTTCCTGCCTGTTGAAGGGTGAATAGGCTACACAGAGCTAGGATGGTTTCTACTGAGTGGTAAGATTCACAGAAGTTCCAGGGTATTCATGTCACGATCATTCCTTGGGCAAAGTTTGATGCAGATGAAGATAAAGTGGTTTCTTGGTCAGCAATTGCAATTTCTTTCTTTTAAACTCAGTGGGTTTCTTGTATAGTTCTATTACAATTGGCCCAGGTTTAATTTCATCCTTGTCCATGAAAGCAAAACACTTGGTGCTGGTAAACCTTTTTTTTAGGCTTATAGTGTTTGAATTCAAAGAAAATAGCTGCACCTTTGGTTAATTTTTCAACATGCTTCTGGAGCTCAATGTCCACATTAAAATGAACATACATATATTCTTCTCTTGAAGCCACTGGAGTATCTTGCACAGGAGTTAAATCTATGCCATTCAGATCTTTTAGGCTAACTGCGATATAGGGATCAGTGCATTGCCCAGCATCTTTCAGGCCAATTTTCTCAATTCTGATAATGAGTAACGTCACTCCTGGTTCTGATGGCAACCTTGGTAATAAAGTACGGGGAACTCTTAGCAAGAAAGGCATCTGGAGGCCCTGCTCTAGCACCACTCTCTTCTTCAAACTCCAAATTCTCTTATTCACCAGGTGCTAAAACTCTTCTTAAGGGGACCGACCCGCTGAACACCAAGTGGGAATTCTTCATTATATGTAAGAACATTCTTTAGGATTGGTTCTAGCTTCTTCAGGCCCTCCAGTTTAAATTCTTCTTGGGACCCTGTGGGCTGTAAAGCTGCACTTCGTAATTCCAAGCATGTTGCCATTTTGCGTATGGTTTTCTTTTGTTCTTCGGCGAATTCAGAATTGCTGTGCTGAGCTTGGGCCTCTTTTTGTAGGTGTCTTGCTAATATCTGATACTCCTCTATCGCCTCCACCAGCTGGCCCCAAGAGTAGAAGTCGGAGCCTCTCCCAAAGCTGGCACCCCAGCGCTGCAGCAGACTTCGGGTCACCTCCGACGTGGCCGGTCCCCACCGCGTCCCCTCCCGCCCCTAGCCCGGCGAGGCTGGGCTCTAGGGCGCCATCCTCCCCGGGCCTGGCCCCGACATTAACAGGGCCAGGAGAAACCGCCAGGACCGCCAAGGAGCCGCCCAAGCCCATCTGCCGCCCGAGCCGAACTTTGCGGCTCTGAAGCCTTGACTGGAATTCTGCCTCCTCAGAACCCTGAGCGTTATCCGCTCACTCAGCCCCTTCAGCGTGCACACGCGTTCCCCCAACACTGCCGTCCGTCCCTCCCCATACACTTCCCAGGGCTCCACCGCCCCCCCCCCCCCGCCCCCGCCTTCACGCCCACCACTTCTCACTGGCCTCCTGGGTTGAATGCAGCCATTCTTTGTGAACGGAGTCAAGCATTTTGAAGGCATTCTTGTCATTTCAATACCTCCACCAACGGTGGCTATGGCGGGATGTGGTGATGGCATCAGTAGTGACAGGCAGCAAAGGTGGTCAGGATGACGCTGGCTGCTGCTGAGGCAGCCACGACAGACGGGAGCAATGGCAGCCGTGGCCACAGGTGGCGGCCACAGGTGGCGGCCACAGGTGGCGGCCACAGACGTGAACCCAGTGGGTGAAGCAGGCAAGGCAGCTGATCTTTGCTGGAGAGATTCCTCTCCACCAGAGCCCACTCTGCCTGATGTGTGTGGCAAGCGGGAAGCGGCAGGGAATTAAAAATCCATCCCCTTGGGACTCCCCTGGCGGTCCAGTGGTCAACACTCTGCGCTTCCACTGCAGGGGGCACGGGTTCAACCCCTGGCCAGGGAACCCAAATCCCGCAGGCCAAACTAAAAAAAAACAAAAGACCCCACAAAAACCAAAAAACCCGTCCCCTTAAGTAGCCCTCAACCAAATGAAGGGTGTACAAATGCCCTCAACACGGGAGTGGGAAGCCTATTTCCACTGTTTCCCAGAGTTGCCCAGAGAATGAAGCTGTTGCCCACAGTGATACCTTGCTTGAAAATGCACCTCTGATGTGCTGCCTTCCCTTCCCTGCCGCACTTCCCACAGCTCTACCAGTGCTTTATGGGATCATCTCCCAAACCCTTGTCTCAAAGTCTGTTTCTGGGGGAATCCAAGCTAAGATAATGCGTCACGAGCCAAGCATTCAAGCACATACGGCACATGAACAACAACTGACCATATGCCAAGCCAGAAAGTCGAAACAGATCTCAAAAGACTGAAATCATAAAAAATATGTTCTCAACCCAATTGCAATTAGGCAAGATAACTAGAAAAATCCCCATATGTTTAGAAATTTAAAAATACAATTTTAAACGTCTAAATAATCTGAGATCAATGAAGAAAGCTAAATAGCCATGCTTTGGGGAAAAAGTGCATATATTAGAAAAGGGAAAAGGCTGAAAATCAGTGAGCTAAACATTCAAAAAGGCAGAAAACAGAAAATTAAATCCAAGGAAAGGTAATAATAAAGAAGAGATTTAAATTAAAAATAAATATATGAACTAGAGAGCACCAACAAAGCCAAAAGCAGATTCTGTGAAAAGACTAATAATATTGATAAACTCCTGTCAAGACTCATCAAGAAAAAAAGGAATAGGACACAAATAACCAATGTCAGAAATGAAAAAGGGGGGGATTCCCTGGCGGTCCAGTGGTTAGGACTCCACAGCCTCACTGCCGAGGGCCCAGGTGGGAACTAAGATCCCACAAGCCACATGGCTCAGCCAAAAGAAGAAAAGAGAGAAATGAAAGAGGGGCCTTTGTTACAGGTTTGACAGACCTTAAGATAATATGAGGATATTAAGAACAAATTGATGACAATTTAAAAATTCAGAGCGTGTGAAAAATTCTTAGAAAAATACATTTTACCCAAACAGACGCAAGAATAGAAACTATGAAGTTTTTATGAGTAAATACGGGCAAAAGTTCTTTGCAGGCAAACGCCATCAAGAGGTGGAGTCCCTTCCCCGCCAAAAAAGAGGCAGAGTCTCCAGGGCCTTTAACCTGGGTTGGCCTCATGACTTACTTCAACTAGTAGAATGTGGTGAATGCGGTGACTTTGTTTCATTTTTGCTCTCGTGGACCCCTGAGACCCACCATATAAGGAAGCTGGTCTAGCCTAGTGGAAGACAGGCCTGTTAGAGATGTTCTAAAACGTAGTCTCCACCTCCATGTTGTCTGCTCTTATCACTGCTTTCTGTCACATGGAGAGAACCCCACCCTAGCTTACTCAAGTAAAGACAGGTTGGCTGAAAACATACACAGAAATCTGAGGGCTCAATCCACAGCCCAAGGAAACTGGAGCTGGGAACAGAAAGCCACCAGGACTCAAGCAGCCCTTTCAGGGACCACAGGAACTTATCACAATCCTCTCTCCACAACCTGGGTTCTCGTTTGGGCCACATGGCATCCAAGGGCCCCTGCAACCCTGACTGCATAGGACTCCCACCCTGGCTGCTAAGCCAACCAACAACTTCCTTTGTTTTAGGTGTCAAATCCCCAGGAGAGACTCCCAGCTCATTTTTCCAAGCCCGAGCACAAGGCTTAGATTTCAAATGGCCAGTCCGGTCAGCGCTGACCAGTCACTTCCAGTTTCTGTAAGTCCGCATTACGCTCCAGGGAAGAGCAACTTATCTGAATGGTGAAGCTGGGTGCAGGCTCTGGGCTCCCTCTGCATACTTGCCTGTCTACCCTCGGCACCTTAGGACCTCCCCTGCAGGAAGACGATCAACCAGCTGTGCCCACGGAGCCTGTAATCCTGCAGAGAAACATTAAGAAGCTGCAGCAGCCACTGCTGGTACCCACCCGACCCACTCAGCACCCTCTCCTGCATGCTGAAGGCTGCTCACTTGACTTCCCACTGCTCTCTGCTCAGGGCCCTCTCTTGGTGGCAGGAGGGCACTCGACCACACATAGGGCAGTCAAGGCCCATGAAAACATCCCTCAATGTCAGATGGGGAGTTGGTGTACATACACCCCAACTTCCTTGCCCCTGGGATGGGGGAACTGAGGTATGTTCTGTGCCGTCTCCCAAAAGTCCCAGGTGGGACTGAGCCTCAGCTGCCCACAGCAGTGACCGGCTTGATAATGCACCTTTTATTGGCTGCCTTAGTCTCTGTCACACCTCTCCACTTCCCTACGAGTATTCCTGGAATCATGCCCCCAGATACTACCTGCACTCAAATCCTCCGGGGTGCACTCTGGAAGGATGCAAACCAAGACAGAAGAGAAGTCCAGTGCAGCAAACTCTAAGCCACATCCGTCAACGCAGCTGTTTTCAATACAAAAGCCAGTGTTTTCACCTGCATTGCCTCATGCCCATGTCTATTGCTCAACTGATTCTGAACTCAGGAGGGAAGGAGGTGTGTTATTTATTGCCCCCTAAGCCTCAAGGAAACACTCAATGAAGACTTGTAAATGCTACAGTTAAGGTGAGAAGGAGCCCTTCTCTGTATCCGTGCAGCAGGAGACAGGAAATGGATGTTGCCAGAGCTGAGGGGGGAAGAGGGGTCGCCTTAACCCTGGTGAACAGACAGAGCAGCTTGCCCCAGGCCCCAGGCCCCTCCTTGGCACACTAGGTGAAGCTGGGGAGCAGGGCCCCGCAGGTGATGAAGGCAGGAACCAAAGCCTGGCAGAGTCTTTATTTATTGTGAGTCTTGATGTCCAGGGAAGCCAGGCCCATGTCCACAGCCCTCAGGACTCCTCCTGGCCATGCTTCAGGGGTGGATGCATCACGCGCAGTCACTCATGTCCAGTGCTCCTACGGTCTGAAGGGTCCTCAGGAGGCAGGAAGTGGCTGTGCCTGCAGAAAAGAGCCACATCAACATCTACTAGCACCTCTTGTGTGCCTGGCCCTGGGACCACTGCTGGCGAGATTAGGTAGACACGGCAGAGGCTGCCCTTGCGGAGCTCACAGCCTGGAGGGAGAGGGTGTCAGGTGATGACCTTGGGTGCAGCAAGCCGTCACTGGGAGCAGGGAAGGCAGCATTCTGCTGGGTTTACACAGCACCTGCTGTGTGCCCAGCACTGTGACAGATACTAGGGACCCAGCAGTGGATGCAGCAGACACACATCTCTGACTCCAGGGAGGGGCAGACAACAAATGAACCAAAACGTGTCAGCGGGTGAATCCTATGAAGAAAACTGCATCGGGGTGAAGGGCAGAGGTGTGTGGAGCGGGGGGTACAAGCAGCACTTTACGCCGTCAGCCGCGCTAACGGGACATGTCTTTATACTGTGTTTTACGAGATGAGCCTGTGTGTTTGCTATTTTGGAGACCAGAGAAGAGAGGAGGTCTGAATTTCACTGCCCCCAATCGGAGAGGGAAAGCTGCAGCTGGGGTGCCATTACCGGGAAGGGGAGGGCAGTCAGGAGGACCTGGGTGCGGGGTTAATGACTCTGAGTGCGCTGGAAAACCACAGGCTTTAAAGGGGACAGATGTGACCCCGTTTTCCGTTTTTAAAAGCTCCTTTGGCTACCAGCGGGAAGACAGAGAGTAGCAGGGGGGCAGGGCAGGGCTGACCCCAGGAAGACCAGGGAGAGCCTTGGTTGCTCATTCCGGGAGGGAGGGAGCAACTGGCCCTAAGATAGGAAGGTGGGGTCTTTGCTCAGATGCTCAAAAAACTTGAAAGAGGTATCACCAAGATATGATTAATAAACTAGCGTGAACAGTACGCAATCATTACTGAATATTTTCTGAAAAGAATTAAAAGTCCATCTCACTGGTGTCTGCTCTTGGAACCTGAACCTTTCACTTATCTGTGCCTTATTAAAAAAAAACAAAACCCGATGTCTAGAGGGCCTGGTAGAAGGGCATTTCCCCAGTCTTTAGCCAAGAACTCCTCTGAAACAGGCGATGGGAGGGAAGCAGTTACAAGGCAGTAAAATATAAGCCATAGTGGAGGGAGCTCAGGGATCTTGGGAGGATGGAGATGGGCCATGACGGGATTTTCTGGGGAAGGTGACATCGAAGCTGGGATAAGAATTAGCCAGATGGAATGGGAAGGGCAGTCCAGGCAGAGGAAAAGTGAGATAAAAGCCTGGCAGCAGGAGAGACCGGCATTCGAGTAGCTGCATGTTCACTGAGGCAGGAAACACAGAGCTTGAGGTGGATGTTGGGTAGAGGCAGGGCCAGAGGCCATGTCCTGCAGGGCCCGAGAGGCTGTGCTGGGGTGTAGACTTGGCCTGGTCAACGCGAGCCATGAAGCAATACACAGTCAGAGTTCCCTTGGGATCACTCTGGGACCTTCACAGAGAACGGACTGAATGAGGTAAGACAGACAGCATAGAGGTCCAAGAGAAGGCTTCTCTTCCGGGTGCGAACAGAGAAGATGGGGCCCCAGGAACTGAGAGAGGGGCAAATGGGAGGGGGTTGAGAGGGAGCTGGTGAAAGATGTGACTTTTGCCTTTGGAGCCTGCAGGCCAGTGGGAGAGACAGTAAACATCTAAACCAGCATTTCTCAACCTTTTTAAAAAAAAATTATTGCCGGGGCTTCCCTGGTGGCGCAGTGGTTGAGAGTCTGCCTGCCGATGCAGGGGACACGGGTTCGTGCCCCGGTCCAGGAAGATCCCACATGCCGCGGAGCGGCTGAGCCCGTGAGCCATGGCCGCTGAGCCTGCGCGTCCGGAGCCTGCGCAACGGGAGAGGCCACAACAGTGAGAGGCCCGTGTACCACCAAAAAAAAAAAAAAAAAGACAAAAAAATTATTGCCCCCCAAGGAGTCTTTTTAGACATTTTAAAAAAATTGCACCCATCCATGACACTTTAATACCATATAGTGTATATCTGTTTAGGTACTGTATACATTAAAAACAGGTAAGACTTTTTTGCCCCATCCTTACCCCCATTGCCCATACAGCTGAGAGGCAGTGAGGACGCGAAAGGGAGAGTGGGTAAGGGAGGAGGTGGATCAGGTCAGCCTGGGGAAGAATACTGAGAAGCAGCAGGAGCCTGGGATTTTGTTCTCAGTGTGGACGAGAAGTCACCGAAGAGCTTTAAGCAAAGGTGTAATGTGACTAGTTTTCAGTTCCTAAATGTTCTCTCTGGCCACCGCATGGAGGCAAGGTAAGAGGGGATTCAGGGAGACCAGGGAGAAGGCTGGGGCAGGTACCTTGGCTGTGGAGCGGGGGAGGAGACGGCTGGACTAAAGCAGGGACTATGGAATGGGTAAGAGGGCAACACGTGCTGATGTTCTGGAAGCGGGATGCATGGTAAAGGTCTGTGTGGGGCTGAGGCTGACTCCAAGGTCTTTACTCTGAGCAGCCAGGAAGATGAAGGGGTGGGACGAAGTGATGAGCTGCTGTCTTACCTCTGCGGTAGAGGGGGGGTGTGTCGGCTGCACCTGCTCGGCACACTGCAGGAAGCGGCGCACATGTTCTGCACAGTTGCCCACGGCTGCCTCGTTCTGTCTAAGACATTCCTCAAAGGCCTCAAAAGGCTCCGCACAGGCCTGGCGGATTTGCCGGATGATTGGGCTGCAGGGGTAGGGCATTTCAGGCCTGGGGAGACTTCCACCGACCACCCCCCGCCCCCCACCTGCCCCGTACTTGCCCACACTCACTGGGCGGATGTGCACTGAGCAATGCTCATCTTAAGGTGGTGACAGTCTCGTTGCCATGACTCAGGCTTGGCTGCCACACACTGGCCATACTGCTCCAGCTCCCGGCCACAGTAGCGAGCAGTGATCTCCAGGGCCGCCTGCCTGTGGGATGTGACAGTCTGAGGACAATTCCAGGCAGTAGGCAAGAAAGGGAGTTCTGATCTGAGTCTGGGGTGGCACCCCATGGGGTCTTGGGCAAATCTCAGAGTCTGAAGGGTCCTGGGGTAGGGCCAGGGAGGTAGAGAGGTAAGGCATGAGCCTTGAGGGCTGTGGAGCAGGCTGGAAGCTTCTGGGGAGATAGCGGAGGTCCTGAAAAAAAGGTCTGATTATTCCAAGGCAGGCTGTGGCGGTCCTGGAAGAAGGGTCTGGGAGTCTGGGCATCCCCCAGTTTAGGCTTGGGAATCATGCAGAGAAGGCTTAGGGCCTTAGAAGTGACACCTAGAGTTTTCCGAGAGAACCTGGGAGCCCTAATTGAGTTCGAAGGCCCTAAAAGTGAGGGTTAGAGGTCCAAGGGGTGAGGTCTTGGGTCCTGGGGAAGGGTCTCTTGACCAAAGGGTCTTAGAGATGAGACCTGAACACAGGGGTACTAAAAGGGAGACTTGAGGCCCTGGGGCAGGTTTGGGGGTCCTGGGGTGGGTCTCAGGGTCCTAGGGGCATGATCTGGAAGCCCTGGGTGAGGCTGGGGCTCTGGGGTAAATCTGGAGGGTCCTACAAATAGGCTCTTCAAGTTCTTGGGAACAAGGTCTGGAACTCCAGCGTGAGATCAGTGGTGTCTAAGAACAAGTCTGTGGGCCCTATAGGTGAGATCTGAGATACTCGACAGACCCGGAAGTTGCAAAAGGTAAAGTCAGAAGATCCCGGGGGAGGAACCTGGAGCTCTAAAAGGACGGCTCTAGGAGTCCTAGAGGTCCTGGGAGAAGTCTGAAGTCGTAGGGCTGCAGGGTGAGGGACGAGACCCGGTGTTTTGGGGGGCAAGGCTTGGGGTGTTGAGAGACTGGACCTGAAAATCCTCCGTTATCACCCGAAAGAGGGGCGGAGCCTAAACGCTCAGAGGGCGGGGCCTGAACACGCGCAGAACTGAGGCTCGTGAAGGACAGCGCTGAATCCTAAGGCTCGGGATCTCCAGGGAACAGAGTGGCCAATCCTTCTTCCCGGAGTCCTGGCCTAAGTCCAGATCACTGGGGAAGAGAAAGAATACGGGGGTAGGTACGGGGTAGGGGCTCCCGCTACTCACATCCTGAGGCCGATGCCGGAGGAGGATCAATGAGGGAGGATAGCCCCGCCTTTTCCGGTATCAGGTTGTCATGGCGGCGCTCAGCCCAGCCCTCCTTGCCTCGTATTTTCCCGGTCGCAGAGCAGACAGGCAGCCCAGTTCCCTTTAGGCCCAACCCGTCATGGCGGCGCCCTACTTCTCCTTCCGGCCCCGACCTCTAATGGTGGAGTGTTGCGTAGCCACTTTCCGGCCGCAGCCGGCTCGGTACTTTGTGCCCGTCAATTTCCGGCTGGCCCTGGCGGCACCGGGAATTCACCGGAAGTACTGGGAAGAATCGCGGTACCTCCGCTCTAACGCGAGTGTGGCGGGCGCCGCTCCTGTACTTGGCCGCAGGCGCACGCGCCTTTAGCCGCCTTACTGGAGCTGGTGGCCAGCGGCTGCCTCTGCTGCGACCCCTCAACATGCTGCCGTTCGCGGCTTGGTTGGGCGCCGTGGCTGCGGGCTGCTGGGTTCCCGGACACGGAACCTGATACCTGATGCCCCTCTGCATCTTCTCCTCTGCGCGTGCGCTCACTAGCCTCTGGGGACGCCGGTTGTACGCGAGGCGGAGCGGGCGGGAAGGGGGTCACCCCGGGAGCAGGAGGAGGAGGCCTGGACCTCTCGTCTACTCAGCCTGGGTTACCCAGACCGTGTCCCCTAGCCCTTGGCATAAATTATGAAGCCAAGGCGGACGTGAGTTTTAGTCTTGGCTCCCTGCCACATTGGGGAAGTTAGTTCTCTGTAATTCTTCATCATATGACAACGTTTCCGCCTCCTCGTCTGTCTTCAGGTATGAGGCTCCGTGTGAGTATCCCTTGGTCAGAGAACTGAGCGTCAGTCCTGCTGTCCTGTGTGCAGAGCTTTTTCCAGACCCAGGGCGAACCAAAATGAACATAAAATGTAGTTAATCATAGTGGCTTAGAGGAACAAGAGCCATTTGTGAGCACGTGACAATTGCTTGGAGTCTCAGTATGTTACCGAACTGAAACAGCACAGCTCAGATGGGACTGGAACCCATGGACTGGGACTCGAACTCACTGGCTTTTCATTGAGCTCGCACACCTGGTATCAGGACTTAAAGAAGCTCAGGTTTTTTCTGTCTGGTTGCCGAAAGAATTCACTGAGACACAAAGTGATAGGAAAGAAGTGGATTTATTTAGAGAGATACACTCTGTAAGCAGAATGCAATCCATCTCAAAAGGGGAGAGTGGCCCGGAAATATGGGGTGGTTAGTTTTTATGGGCTGGGTAATTTCTTAGGCAAGTGGGAGGAGTGTTCTAACTACTTAGGAGAAGGGGCGGGGATTTCCAGGAATTGGGTCCCTGCCCACTTTTTGGCCTCCTGTGGTCAGCCTCAGAACTGTCCTGGCACCTGTGGGCATGTCACTTGCATATGCTAGTGTATAATGAGGTTCAAGGTATCCTGGAAGTTGAATCTTCCTCCATCTTGGGCCTAATCGGTTCTAGCCAGTTTTTGTCATACCTGCAGCGGCTCTGTCATTCTTTTATTTTTTTTACTTGTTTGTTTTGGCCACGACACACAGCTTGAGGGATCTTAGTTCCCTGACCAGGGATTGAACCCGGGCCCAGGTCAGTGAAAGCACCAAGGCCTAACAACTGGACTGCCAGGGAGTTCCCAGGGAAAGGTTTTTAAAGACAGGGTGAGGGGGGGCTTCCCTGGTGGCACAGTGGTTGAGAGTCCTCCTGCCAATGCAGGGGACACGGGTTCGTGCCCTGGTTCGGGAGGATCCCACATGCCGCAGAGCGGCTGGGCCCGTGAGCCATGGCCGCTGAGCCTGCGCGTCCGGAGCCTGTGCTCCGCAACGGGAGAGGCCACAACAGTGAGAGGCCCACGTACCCCCCCCCAAAAAAAAAGACAGGGGGAAGGAGCGGGGTTATGGGGTGTGTGATCGGCTCCAGACGTTCTTCTCATTGGTTGGTGGGAGTTAGTATCATCAGCTTTCTGGTTCCAACCAGTCTGGGGTCTACATGCCTCCATCTGGTGAGGGTTTCAGTATGTGTAAAACAGCTCAAAGGACACAGCTCAGAATATTATTTGTAGCCCCTGAAGAGGAACTAAAGGGCCTTGACTTTGTTTAATGGCTAAACTGTTATTATTTTGTCTTGTTTGACGGTTTTCCTTTCTGCATTTTCTCACTTCTCTGATTAAATTTACTCTTTGGAACTCGGGGAAGGCCCAGGAGGCTAAAGTTTTTCTACAGACAGAAGGTAGGCAGAGGACATGGGGAGGAGGTGTGTTCTGGGAGGGCCCCAAAGGATCCTGCTTGGTTGCAAGTGTGCTCGTCTGTAAAATGGGGATGATAACAGTGAAATTCTTCACAAGATATAGTATATGTGAGCGTTTTAGCATGGAGCCTGGAAGAGAGGAAGGGAAGAGCG